TCCATATGCCTGTCACCAGAAAGTTTTGGGTCAAGGTAAACCCCGAGAAATCTCACTGAAGTCGAAGGAGAGATAGAAGTGTCATTAATAGAAATATCAAAGCTCATAGACCTTGGTTTCCTTCTCTTGGAAAATATCATGAGTTGAGTCTTATTGGCCGAGATCTCAAGGCCCCTGTCCCCGAGATATGCCTGAAGATTAAGTATCGACTGTTTAATAGAGCGAAGAGAGGACGAAGGATCAGATTGAGAAGAGAATATAACAGCAAATTGTAAAAGACGAGTATCATGATGTAGGATACTGTTGATATCTCTGAGGTATATGTTAAAGAGAGAGGGGCTAAGAACCGAACCCTGAGGTGTACCTTTGCGAGAGACATAAACGGGAGATAGAGAACCCTGTGTGACAAATTGCAGATTTCGAGAGGAAATAAGATTATGAATGAATTTGATAAGGAGAGGGGGAAAGCCAAGAGAAATAAGGTCTTGTACTAGAACATGTGGAAGGACGTTATCAAATGCCGACTTAACGTCAATGAATACCGCAATAGTATCGCGTCCGTTGATGAAAGAAGTATGGATATGAGTAACGAGTTGGATTAAATTGTCCTGACATGATTTGAATTTGCGAAATCCACATTGATTAGTCGGAAAGAGGAGTGGAATGGGAGAAGCCGGAGATTCAGAGATCCAGTATATCCTGTTAAGAATCATGCGTTCGAAAATTTTGAGAACACACGAGGTGAGAGATATGGGTCGAAAACCCGTGCCGTTAGGCTTAGGGATAAGGTAAACAATAGAGTGAGACCATTGCGAGGGAAAAACAGAGGAAGAGAATAGTAAGTTCAAGACGGATAATAGGCAAGAGAGAAGGTTATCCGGAAGGAGTGTCAGAAGGCGATACTCCACTTGGTCAAGACCGGGGCTACAGGAAGTTTTGACCCCATTTAATGATGCTTTAATTTCATTAAGCGAAAAAGGAGAGTCAAGCCAAGCGAGTCTCTGATCCGTAATAACCGGGATAGAGGGAAGAGGGGGGGAGCACGAAGGACAGATATTCTGAATCGTAGACTGAATACAGCCGTTCGAGTCCGAGTCTTCTGACTTCGAGGAAACCGAATGATTTACCACAAGGCTGCGATGTTTAAATCTTTTAATCATTTTCCACAATTCTGCGGAAGGGGTGAGATGGTTGAGTTTCTCACAGAAATCCCTCCATCCCTTGCGTTTAGCCTTGCGAAGAATTTTCCGCGAGTTCCGAACTGATTCAGTGTACATATCGTAATTTTCAGTAGAAGGAATACGTTTGTACAGCTTCAAAGCGGCTGCTCTATTCTTGATGGTCTCCTCGCATTCCGGAGTCCACCACGGAGCCGGTGGAGGAGCCTTAGAGGAGAACTTCCCGTCGTTGAAAAAAAGAGATAGATTTTTTATTTACATTTTTATTGGCAAGGTCAGGAGATTGTGTTACACATGACATTATGCCGTGGATAAAAGTATTATAGCCTTCTACCGGAGAGACCGATAAAGAGGCCGCCGAAGTCTCCTCAATTATGATAGGTGCTTTAAGCATAAGAGTTGGAGCGACAAGGTTCCATTGAAACTGAGTTAAACGTATTCTATGAGAGAAGATGTTGGTCGATCTAATTTTTTCGTTAATCGAAACAAAAATCGGAAAGTGATCACTACCGCAAAGGTTTGTTCCCACTGAAGCTTGGCAAAGAATGGCCAAGTCAGGGGAGGAAAAGAAGAGATCAATAACAGGAGTTTTGGAAGGAGGGGGGATGTAGGTGGGAGAAGAGATAGGGTTTAAACAGACATAATTCAAGGACTCCATTAGATCACATATCGCGGTGCCCGCCGAGTTGATCTTGTGAGCTCCCCAGCCCCTGTATTCTGTAACTCGTTAAGGCAGTTAACGACATCGTTGCGCAGATATCTTATGGTATAAAAAGCTGCGCAACGATGTCGTTAACTGCTTAACGAGTTACAGAATACGGCCTCAGAGGGGATGATGAGCATTAAAATCTCCGGTTATGAGAATAGAAGGAAATTGTTCAAGGAACGAGTGAAATTGGCTGATGATATCGCGAGGAAAAGGAGTATTAGGATGTCTGTATACACCGACGAGATGGGGAAGGAATAGCCGTCAGAAAAGACCTTAATAGATATTAATTCGACCGATGGCAAGAGGTCAGGTAAGGAATCAATTATCGAAAATTGAATTGAGTTCCTGATTAAAATAAGAAGGCCTCTAATATCGTGTGAAACTGAGTCCCGTCTAATACAGTCAAATCCCCGAATCGTAAAAGAGTGGGAAAACGATAAGCAAGTTTCGGTCAAGATAAGGATGTCAAGGTTTTCCATCATCTTCTCGATTTCAGGTTTTTTAAATAATGCACCGCGACAATTCCAGAAGGAGATTCTAAGAGGGTGAGATGGGGAAAGGTTGTTGTAATTGCGGGGGGATTGAGTAGGCATGATTGAAGTTAGAATGTCTTAGTGAAATCTGCAAGAATCTCTAGTATCTGACGGAGGCTCTGAACTATAGAAGAGTTACCTTGATCGGAGGAAAGAGTACCTAAGAATTTTTGCAGAAGGTTCGAAATTAGCGAGATAAAATTAAACATCCCAGACTGAGATGAATTAGAGGAAGAAGAAGTTTCAGTGGGAAAAGTAGGGGTGGGATTAAATGACGAGGATTGAGGATGAGGAAGGGGAGGGGGATAAGAGGGGGAGTGAGAGTAAGGAGGGGGAAAATAGTTGGAGTTCGACCATCTTCCGTGAGGTGCAATAAGACATGCATTATGCATTGTACGAAGGTCATTAGATGTTTGGTTATTAGCGTTAATAAGGGGAGGGGGAGGTCTAGGATTAGGAACCGTGCGAGTGTAACGATTAATAATGGATTGATTATTAACTTGTTGCGAGGAGCGAACCTTCTCGCTGTAAGAGGGAGAATTGACTCCTATATAATCGTGACCAAATTCAGGGATCTCACCAAGAACTTCATATGGATTAATGTCGTAAAAATGCGAAGGTGAACCAGTAAAAAGAGGATTGTCAAAGGAGAAGCGAGGAGAAGATCGTGGGGGGCAGGATGTCGTGGATAAGGAAGGAAAAGAAGAAAAATCATTGTAGGGGGGGATATTGGAAGGCGAGGGGGGATGCGAGGAAAGGCCAAGGCTCGCGCGAGCTTCCATGTATGAAATATTTTTTTGCGCGGCAAGTAGGTAGACCTGTCTATGTTTGAGATAAAGAGGGCATTTAGCAGATGAAGGAAAGTGTTCCTGATTGCAATTGACACACTGAGGAGGAAGATGCATACGCGGGCAATCTTCCTGATTATTATGTTTACCTTGCCCACACCTAGCGCAGCGAGGAGAACTCTTGCAATCTGAACTGATGTGTCGAAATCGCAAGCACGAGAAGCACATTAAAACTCGAGGGATATAAGGGATGATCGGGAAGGAGACATGCATATATGTCAGGGAACGAGGTAATAGCTGACCTTGAAATTTAACCATAACTGAGAGAGAAGGTTGCAGCTCGTCTTTCCCATCCTTTTTAATCCTTCGTTGCAGTCTCTTTACTGATAGAATTTTAGCTTGGGAGGAAAATTCCTTAAGGATAGTTTCCTCCGTGATGTCCAAAGGGATGTTTTTGGCAACTCCCGTTCTCATGACCCTAAAAGCAGGGATAGAAACCTTCAAATTATCTGCTTTAAGAGAATCAAGACTAATGATGTTATTAGCTTTCTCATGATTATTGAGAGCGACCGAAACCATATTTCGTCCGGCCGACTTAATTTCAATAACATTATTCCCAACATGCCTGTGAATAATACGACTAACCATAAGTGGATTGAGGCGGGACGTAGAGTTGTCAGAGTCCTTCTGAATCAAAACGATATATGGTGGTAAATCCCTAGAAGAATATTTGCAAATATTACCTGCAGAGGCTTGAGTCTGCCGGGTGCCGGCACTCACGGCCGGGGAATCCCCGTCAGTCTTGTCCTTCTTATCAGATACATTAGCACGTTTGAAAAACGTTGTATTTGCAGATGGTGGGTCATCGCTCTTCTTCTTGTTGGAAGGATTAGGTTCCTTATCAATATCCATAAGATTATCAGATTGTACAGATATATCTGAAATAGAGCCGTCGATTTCCCCACCTGAAACAATGGGGGAACGAGATCTACTCGATTCTTGCAATGATTTGGAAGAGATTGCAATATCTTTTTCCGATGGATTGTCCTGAGATATAGCATATTTTGTTCCTTTAGAAGATTTCTTATCCTTCTTCCTTCCACGAGACATCTTGAGGGGAGCGATGGGAAGTTGAGAATATTTCAGATAACTCTGCCTAGAAGACTTCTCAATACGAGACAGAGAAGAAGCTCTTGTCTCATGTAAGGTTATGTTAGCTTTCTCATAGAAAGAATTAAAGTTTTCGAAAGATTCTAATGGAATCGAATTATTATTATGCTGTAATTTCAATTCCCTTCCCGGCTCGGGAGTGAATTGGCCCGAAATCGGGCTTTCCTGCATGCCACCACCACCTACAAAGGGGAAGAAGACGAGAACAAAGAGAAGGGAAAGAAAGGAAAAAAGGGAAATAGAGGACACGGAAGCGTATCCACTAATTCGCGTATACTTGCGAAACTCTCCCGGTCGCGAATCTCACCACCGGAACACGCACAGAGGCAATCCGCCTGTCAAAAGCCGTATTATAATAAGCACAATACTAAAACCCGACTGTTCGCGCCAAACGGACTTCCGCCATTTGGCCATAATCAGACAAATTGCCCAAACTTTGGTCGGCTGACATACCCCCACTCCTCTCAATCCACTGCGCATCCACCGGAATGGTTCACACTTCCACCATACCACATGTATGTATGTGTAATATACGATATAAGCGATTAGCAACCTGCGTCGCCATGATATATTTCTCCTGACAGTCGTGGTGTGATACGTTTCATCGCGATGTTTTCGCTTTTCGATAACATTCGTCGACGGCGGTTATGAGAATCGTGGAGCGTGCGAGTGAGCGAGGAGATCCGCGATGCGGGATCGTGCGATCAGTGTCGCGTGATGAGCGCGGAAGCCTATTGCGTACAGTAACGTTATTAGTGTATATACTTGTATATAGATCTCTCATTTTCTCGCAATGTGTACCTGATTAATTAGCACGCTTTAATCACACCACGTTAAAACGACACACGATGTCTGCTCTACGAAAGAAAGCAAGTCGAAGACTTCCGAAAGAGCAGAGAGATACTGATAATCTTGCTGGCCACGATAATCCGGCTTTACCGGAACCTGGGCCATTCAAATTTAGAAGAAGAAGAACTGATAATCTTGTAGGAGGTTAAGTACATATATATATTTATTAAGTATATATTGCTTTATCACTTATTCGTATTGCAAATTTATTTGTTGCTGCACTGTGTGAAATTTATCTGAAGTATACCAAGATAATGATTTTGTTATATATCTATGAAAAGTTAAATAAATATAAACATAGCCTTTATTTAGTCAGAAATATAATTTGAAATAACATAAATATTAATTCCTCTTTTAAATAAATGTAGAACAACAAGAAACTGAATTATATATAATGTTTAAAATACTGAGGATTTTTTTTATAAATTAAAAAAAAATTTTACCTCGTAAATAATTATTATTTTGATATGGCAATTACTTAGTTTAATTCTCTTTAGTACCAGTTTTGATGAAATTAGACTCATTTGATACATTTTTGATATTTTACAGCAGACGTGACCATTGACGACTTTGCTAATACATTACGGATACATGCAAGGTTTAAGAAATCAGTTACAAATGTGTCTAATGAAGGTTAGAAAATAAATTATAATACTTTCAAAACATTTATTATTGAAAAAGTACAAGTATGTTAATTTATTGTTTAAAGTAATTCTTAATTTTGCATATTTTTATTTTTCGAATATTACAATTGATATTATATAGGTGAGATCTTAATTCTGTTATTTATATATATTATTTAGTGAAACAGGAAGCAACAAAACAAGAAGAAGAGAAATTAGTATGGGATGACACAGATGACGAGAACTCATTAAAAGATAATATAAAAGGAAGGAGGAATAGAAGAAGATTGAAATGTCAAAAAAATAATAATGAAGATGAAGGTATATAGATACATTTGTACATAAATAAAATGTTTTAATTAAATTTTATAATGATAAAAATCATGAACATGTAAAGTATTATACATGATGAAATATTACAAAAATATTTTTTTTTTTTACTAGGAATTGATTATCCATTAGATATATGGTTTATTATCTCAGAATACGTACAACCTGAAGCAGTAGGAAAATTTGCAAGGATTTGCAAAAGTTCTTACTATGTAACTATCACTGGAAAATTTTGGTTTCATTTATACAAGTCGTAAGTACTTTTTTGTATTGGTAATATACAATTAAAAATCTGTGAATTTATTTTTAAAGATTATTTTTAAATTATGTTAATACTTTTTAAATAGATCAATAGTGTTAATTTGTAAAATCAGATTATAATTTTAGATATTACAAATTCGTACCAGATTTACCAGAGCACTTGCAACCACAGTGTATGAGGTTACATGGACTAAGAGCTTGTGTTATCAGGGCATTACATTACAGTTATTTTAGAACATCGGAAAGCGAAGGAGACGATATGTCTTACTTACGACAGGAGGAACCGCATTCTCTTGTGAAAAGAAAATGCACTCTCATGTGGCATAAAGTAAATTACGAATAATTCTTTGTCCACATTTAAGCTCTAAACTCAAGTAAACACGTAGCTGTTTCATATATCTTTTACAATAATTATGTAATTATAATAGACTTGTTCTTTATTTCACATTATGTGATGATATTTAATGACATTGTGGTGTGTTCTAGGAAGGAAAAGTACGATGGTATTTCTATTTTAAGTTGAAGGAAATTTCCAAAATACGTAACAGCCCATTAAAGCAAAATAAACATTGTAATGTTAAAAAAACAGAATTTTCCGAAACGTTGGAAGACGTGGCTGTTAATCCTGAAGACGGTTGCAAAGTGCTTAGGGTTCGTAACATAAGACTTGTTTATACTTTCTCGAAGAGATTAAATTCATTCATTCACACATTAAATTAATTTTATTTGTATGTATAGTAATATATTTTAATATATTTTATATGACTTATGTATATAGGTGAGTTGCTCAAAATATAGTATGTTACCACCGGTGATTGGATTGATTCTGCAAACAGTATCTATGAATTTAATGCCTGGCTTCAGAGAATACAGACTTCAACTTGGATTCGGAACGTCGGATGTTCCTAGCACATTAACGAATCAAATAATACTTCGTAATGTTATCGGATATAGTATCTTAAATTGGTGGGATCCTGCTTATCCTCATCAGGATGTAAATTATACGATCGAATTGCCACAAAATGACTCGTGGGAAATCTAAAATTTATTACAGATTGTTCTTATATTTTGTGTATTGGGGAAATAGAAAAGTCTTTAAATTTTTATAAGACAAATATATTAACGCGTAACAAATGTAAAAAGTTGTTCAAATTAATATCTCTTTTTTTTTCTTTTTATAAATTCATGAACGATTCCGAAGTTATATGATTTAAAAAAAATAAAATATAAACAATGTCGGAATAATAAAGATAACGCAAATTTTGTGCAAAAATGTTTTATGTATATGAAGAATATATACATCAAAATAAAATTCTTACATATAAATATAAATAATAATTTGATTGATGTACCAAATTTGGTTGTAATAATTCGAACCTTTCTTACTTTCAAAATTTTTACAGTGACTGATGACTTACTAATTAATGACGTGTTTAAGTTGTTTCTGAACTGTATATTTTACATAATTTAATAAACAATTATTGCTGGCAAAATTTCATTTCTTAATAGCTGTTTCTACAGCATCTACCAATTCTTGCAGATGATGTATGTTAGCAGTTGAAATATTAAGATCTTTGACCTAAAAGATGTAAGTGATTAGACATGAAAATATATATTTTTTAAATGCATAATATTTTTTTACCATATTTGTGTAACCATCCACATCTACTTTAAGTTGAATACGTATTTTTTCGTCATCGCTAGTTCCCTGTGATTCCGAAGGAAGTATTTCAGTGGATTTATCACGAATCTTTTTCAATCTCCTCAAACTCTCCTCAGTTTTTTGTACAAATATTAACACATCCGTAACGAGTAATAAATAACTAAAATAAAATTCAATATTATATGCATAATCAATAAGTAATTCTGATAACGTTTTCCGATTTTTATATAATAATATTATTAAAGAAATTATAAAGAATAAATAAAAACAAATTATTTACCTTTCTGTTAGCGAGGATAAAGTTAGTTCTAACCAAAGAATAATATTTTCGGGAATGATTTTGTTATACTCTGTGTAGAAATTAGTAAGAGGGATCATCGCACTCTTTACATAAGAGCAAGGTTTAGTCGGCACATCTCGCTTTGTTCTTCTAAACAGTCGAGGAATGTCGCTAACTTGTTTCAAATGTATTATACATTGCTCTGAGAGCTCGTTTACGATTTCTTTGGTAACTAAAGGCAAAAGATTGACTAAACTGTTCGAGGTTTCACCTAGAGAGTCTAAAATATAAGAATGTGTGTGTGAATAAAATAAATCTTATAATATCTTAATACTTTAAGGTAATGTATTTATGATTTTTAATTCTTCATTACCTTCTAATAATTTCGATATTGTAACAGTCTCGTCTTTAATTTTTGACTGTACCATTTGTAAGAAAGATGGTAAAACCTTTATCAATTTTTCTATATCAATATATAAATACACTAGAAAGTTCAATCTCGTTGAGCACTCCGAGACATTTGAATTATTAGTTTCATTTATCACTGGCCATACCTTTAAATATAAAAGTTGTATTATTTATATATATATATTTTTATACTATGTGTACTATTTATACTACATATACATATATATGTCTGATTTTTACGTATAAATATTATACACATAGTATAAATAGTACACACATAATAAGCTGAATGTAAAAACCTACTTGTTTCATCGTACTCTGACACCAAGTTTGATATCTTGAGCTTATTTGAAGACTGAGTTTCCAAAATCTAATAGTAGTAACATCGCGTTAGTTTTAATCACGAGGAGATTAAAGTGGAAATGAAAATGATTCAGAGAAAATTATAAAATGGTTAAAAAAAAACTATCTAAATTGAGTGGTAATAAGATCGCTCGAGCGTCGTGCGGCATTTGGACCGCGCGCGGTGAGGTGAGGGGGACAGCGGAAGGCGGAGGCAATTCGAAAATCGGCTGAAAGTTATATACACTTTATGTACGTTAACTTTGTACTGGCACCTTTAATTAACAATATATCAGTTACTTTTCATGGCAATATATTATTATTAGATAAAAAGGTTTAAATTTTTGAGTATCCTTTTTTGAACATGGCTTGAACTTTTCGTTTTTATGTTATGCTTTCATCTCTATGACATTGTAACATCGATAAGAATCGTTGAAGAAGGACTCGTGAGTTCCGAAACGTTCAATATTAATTTTATATTATTTTATATTTATTTTATATTTTTTATATATTTTATATTGTATTAACATTGTAAACTATAGAAATTTGTTTTATAAAAAATCTTATTACCGCTTGATTTAGACAGTTTTTTCTTTATATTTTGCATTGCAAAAAACGAGCGAAATCTAATTATTATAAAATGGTTGTTTTTACCTGTGAAACAGTTGATATAAATAGATATCATCAGCCCAAATCCTAAGCAAATTATCCCAAACCACATTGGTTGCATGAAGCGAGAACTCTTTTTGCGTTAGAGATGTCAAACTACCTTTGATTGAATCTGGTGATATTGGTTCGGCTAAAACTGTCTCTACAGCGCCGGCTATCTCTTGAAATCTAATTTGGAAGTACACCGGCAAATTCCATTTTTTGAGAAAATTCTTATACTGTAGATGATTTCTCAGAGCCGTCAAAATTTCGGACGTAACACATTCTGTTTCTAATTTTGTTAGAAACTCTAACGTAGCTGTATACCTCTAAAATTGCGGTAACTCAACATTTTTTCATACGTAGGTACTGTTACACATTTTTAAATATTTCACTTACTTTATGAAATAGTACTGGATCTCCCGGAGCAAAAATAGACTTTATGTATTGCTCAATCTTTTCTTCGATTTCAACCCAAAAGCTATTTACCAAAAAATTAAATCCTTTGACAGACATTCTATAATATAACAATTAGTGTATTTATAAGAGTACATAAATTATATATATATATATATATATATATATAATATATATATATATATATATAATATAATAAAATAGAATTTGCAAATACCTTTCAGGATGTAATGTAATATCTAACAATTGTTTTAACTCTACATTTAGAATGTTTAGTAATCTATGATAAATGCTTTGCAGACCAAGTGGATCAGTTTGAAGATTATCTTCGTTAACCACATTATAAATTAATGGCCTTACAAGCTCATGCCTAACTAATTCTTCTGCATTTGTTACTTTGTCGAGCGTAAGATAAATTCTAAGGCAACGGATTGCCAAATTTGAATTCTTCTCATGTATACATGCTAAGAATAACTCGTTCAGACATGTTACATATAAATTTTCTAATTCTATAGTTTCCTGTTGCAAAATAATTGTTTCAGTTTATTAATTGGTTATTGTTTTTATTTTATTTAGCTATAATAAATGCAATATTATTTTGTTTCTAAATATGCGTACCTTTTCTTGATCAACTGAAATATCCAATTTACACCTAGACATATGAAATTTTAATTGATTCAATTCAATTGCAGCCTGTTCTAAAACATCGATTTTTGTGGGATTTTCCATAAATGTTTTCATGCATAATATGGAAGAAAGTTTTCTTAGCGACTTGTATACATGTTGCAAACTGTGCAAACTTTGCTTACGTTCCCTTATTTTCAGATTATCGTTTAAATTAGCTGAAATGGATGTAATTTCGTCATCCAGAGCTTGTCGCACTTGCTGTCAAAACAAAATTCTGTCATTAGATCCAAATAAATATTAATAGAACAAAGCTCTCAATGTCAAAATAAGCCAATGCAAAAAGCAAATCCGAGTATCGTCGCTAAATATAATTAAAAAATCAATACATTAAAAAAGTTGGAAATATAATTAAAACAATTCAGATTGCATACATAATATGTTTTGACTCTTGGATTGAGCCTTCTTCAGATGTAAAAGAAATGTAGAATTATAGTGTATTTGTGTGTTGCAAATAAATGTAGTCAAAAAATTAAGAACTACACGATTCGACTAACCTACAACAATTGGCAGTCGTTGTCAGTTAGTAAAATCGTGTAGTTTTTAATTTTTTGACTCTGTTTATTTCTTATTAATGTTTTACTTCTTAAATTTGTGACTAATTCTCTTTTGATCATCATCGATGACACGATTTGACTTATATTCAACTCTCACCACGATAAATGACTAATTTATTCTATCATGCTTTTCATCATCATTAAATATTTTTTAAATATTGTGACAAACACATCATGAGTACTGTTTCGATTATCAATTCTGCCAACATTCGATTTATCAATCTTCTATCAGCGAGTTTGTTTTCTCGGAGAGTCACTCATTTAACATCGCAATACACAAATACATTATAATTTTAGCATCACTACGATATAAAGGTTTCTTTTACATCTGATTGTGAGAAAGGCTCAATTCAAGAGCTGAAACATGTTATATACGCAATCTGAATTGTTTTAATTATATTTCTAACTTTTTTAATGTATTGATTTCGTAATTATATTTAGCAATGATTCTCGAGTTCGTCTTATTTATTGTTAGATCCATATAGATACACATACATGTAAAATAATATTTCTGATGTCAATCTAATTGTAAAATGTAGTTTATTAAATCTTTAACAATTTCAGATAGAATCTCTTTGTTCTAATTGTACTTTTTCATTTGTTTTTTTTACCATAACTTCCTCCTTCAGTTGTCCAAGTGGCGCTTGCAAGTCATTGATGGCTTTGTCTAGTCCAATTAAATTGCTGGACAGATTTACGAAATCTGTATAATCCCTGTTAATGAGGTCAATCATAGCCGATCTCAGTAATTTCAAGTACATTCCAAGATCATCCCGCATCGTCTCCAGTTTGCCATTCTTCCTGTGATCTTGCAGAAAAGTGTCGATATCGAAATTCTCCTACGACGTCAAATATAAACATATAACGGAAGAAAATATTAAATTTATATTTCTTAAATATTGTAAACGTGGCAATAAGAAAACGTACGAACCTGTACGAAATCGAGTTCGGAGAAACACAAATCCTTAGGAGCTTTTGGCAATGTTATATTGTTGTTAGACATAATTATATTTACATCCTACTCTCGCTTGAGGATTATTTGGCAACTGTCATCTCAGAAGGACTACAATTACTCTCGATATTAAAAATTTTACTAACACTGATCGCTAATCCCCATATTATGACGTGACACGAGTCACGAACAGGTCCGTCTCACTCAAGCTCTATAAACCGACTTTTTTACCGACATGTATTTATGCATCCATGCATTTAGTTCATTTACAACTGGAAAATATATTATAGAGGCGCTACTAACGCTGGTACGCCTAGAGACACCAGCACGATGTTTGTCGCGCGCGACACGCGATATCCAATGAGCGTCTAGCTTTAGAATGAGAACATCGGTAAAGTTGTACGCTTATTGGATATCGCGCTGGTGTGCAGCCGGCATTACTTTACTGAACCGCGTACCGTGCTGCATGTAAAATCACCCTAAGTTTCTCGTGTGTGTTCAATTTTTGTATTTTTGGGTAAACAAATAATGTTCTAACCTGCGGAGGAAAGTAAGATACAAATTAATTACTATCTTGGGATTGGATTGTCTTTAAAATCGTGTTTGTTTACTAAAGACATTTATCCATATTTGTAGGATTGTAAGTGAGAATCTAAGACAAAGATGAGCATGGAGGATGATTGGGATGTGGAGCAACATAAAGTGGAATATGAGTCTGACGAGCACTGGGAGTTACGGCGTAAATTTTTGCTGACCCACAAAGATAAGTTTCCTGAAGATGTGCTCGTCTGTTTAGCTCAAGTATTCGTCAATGTCGAACTATTAGGATGCAGGTATAATGATATGTAATAGATTAACCTAACTGAACAATACTAGACTGAGTATGTAACAGATGCATGTTACTTTTATGCTTTTACATTTATCAGAGTACTTATATCAATGAATGATGGAACAGTCATATACTGTATGATACAACATTACACAATATCAACTTGTAGCTGAAATATTGCTTAGGTTTTTTATTTCACCTCTAGGGCTATGTTCAGATTCCTACCAGAGTGCCACCCAAGTATTCTTCTATCCTTATTGTTTACCAAATGTTAAACAAGGATAAATGACATCCTGGAAGCACTCAAGTAGGAATCTGAACACACCCAAGAATAAAATAAAAGATATATATATATATATATATTATACACACAGGATATCTGATCATTATAAAACTTATATAGAGGTAGAATGGATTAAACTCATTGTCAGTTAAAAAGTCCTCTATCATTTTGTATTTTTCGTATCAGTTAATGAATTATCAATTGATGAAAATAATCAAATTTGCCCAGCCTACTGCCAAATGCAAGCGAGCAGCGAGATAAGACTGTCCAGAGAGACGCATGTTCTTAGTCACTAGGTACATTAATATCAATGCCGCTTGTTAACAATGCCTAGAATTTGATTATTTTCATCAATTAATAATTCTTTAACTAATGCGAAAAATGCAAAATGATAGAAGAGGACTTTTCAACTGAGTTTAATCCAGTCTGCCTCTATGCGAGAGTTTTATAATTAATCATCAGACGCCCTATATATTTGTATAAATTCTTTGCAGATATCCACAAGAAACGATGAATTTAGTTAAAGAATTATCGCAAGATGTTGCGGCTGAATATAGAGAAAAACAAAAAAAAAAGTTACAAAGAACATTTGTGGCAGCATCAGAGGCAGCTAGTTCTAAGGTGAAAGGTATAAAAAAAAATTGTGAGTTGTAACTTATTTTTTTGTTTTTTTATATTTTATTATGTACAATTTCTGTCTCTTATTAAATATGGCATGTAATAAAATAGCATGTTACTCGTCATCACTGGATCATTATATTGACATTATGTTTGAATAGGATGTACTGCTAAAACATCTACTGTCACAGAAGAATCTATACCGAATATGCCTAATACTATATCAAGTACAACTAATCATACTGATCAATCTCATAAAAAGCGTTCTAAAAAAAATAAAAAGCTCAAAATTGAGAAGAAATCACTTCCTAATGTTACAAAAGAACCTATATCCAGTACAATGAATTACAACTACCAATCGTGCGAAAAACCTGATATCGAAGAGAAACTGTCTAAAAGAATAAAAACAGAAGAAAATATCTCGTTTAAAAATCAAAATCATCCATATAAAGACATTGTTCTGTGGAAAAAGTCAGATAATGATAATGCGGTAAATATACTAGAAATGTCAGCTGCAGTATCTGGTATCGCCATGAATTGGAAGTACTGTAGGACAGAAAAAGGCTGGTGAGTGTATTTTTGTATTACAGTAAGAGCAAATTGCTTTATATTTGTATATACATGTATGTACATGACACACATGTTTATATATATATATATATATATATATATAT